AGGAAAGCTTGCTCTGCATTTAGGAAACAAATCTGTCTAGGATGATGGTGCTTCTGTGAATTATTAAAAGGCAAGTGTGTTTCAAATCCAAATTAGTTGACCCTCTGCTCCGCAACATCTATCTCCAGTTTTGACTGGAAAGAAAATCACACCAAAGGATAAATTTCTCTTAGCATTGGCTGTACTTTCTGCCCCTCACCACATTAACATTTTTGCTAACAAAAGGCTAAAAATAACTCCCTGCACCTGGATGTTTGTTTTCAATACACAAACATTTACACTCATCTAAGGTTCACACAGTCAATTTCAGAGTCAAGTTTGGGTTACCACAGCCCTTTAAAACTAAAAAATGCCTGGCTGCATTTACACAGTGCTTCTCTCTTTACTGGAAGCTCATAGACGAAAACAGCCGGTTTCTGCAGCAGAGCCCCACAGCATCTTTAGGGAATAACCAGCTCCGCTGCCATCCTGCTCATCCTCCTCTGCTCCAACTGAGCTCCTGCTGCTACCTGTGAGCATGCTACTGGCTGCCAAGGGTTAAACCTTGGCTTTTCAAGGAGAAAAACAGGCGTGGAAAAAGCCAGGAGGGGCACACAAAAGGAGGAGGGGGGGAGCCTTCGGAGGGCAGGAGAGCAGGGATGCCCGGAGCCCTGCAGCAGCAGCTGAGCAGCAGCAGAGGAAAAGTTTCTGTGATTTTAGGCAAGCCCTGCCCTGACGTCATCTCGCCCAGATAATCTCGGCGCAGTCAGCACAGGCCTCCTGCCTCCCCATTGGCGAGCCCCTCGTCAGCAGACATCTGAAGATAATTATTATTGGCCAGACAATTATAACAGGAACAACTGTCACTTCGTGCTGATGCCCGAACCTGGCGCTCTGTGGCACGATGGGAAGGACCTCGGCGCTCACTGCTCCATTCGTGCGTTGCTGTCGCTATCTGCTTTTCCAAGCACCAGCCAGTTTTTGCTGCCTCGCTGCCTGCAGCCGGAATCGGGATTCCAGTGCCGCAGCCCTCTTTGCTGCATGTCTGACTGAACTATGAATGTTCTGCACAAATACGGATGCATTTATGCACAAGAGATAAAGGACTGGAGCTACATCAATTCTCACACTGCAGTTTAAGGCAGAGGGAAATCCCCTGCAGATTATTTATTTCATCCCCCTCCCCTCTCTGAAGAAGTTTGTGAGGAGGTGCTGGGAGAGTTTGATTTAAGAAATCTTTGTAAGTAATCATCTTAATAAACATTTGACTTATTCCTGATCATACTGAAATCAAGCCTCCCATGGTCTGAGTACAGTAAGATAGTGGATCTTATCTTAAATTGATACTGTATCACATTTTAAAAGCTACCTCGTGGCACCACATGTAAAGGTACATCCACAACAGTTTTCCCACAGTATGGGAAAGTTTAACTGATTTCATGAGACTAAATGAACCCCTTAGTTCTTCAACCTCCTGAAAACCCACCATCGCTTGTTTAGGGAAGACAACTGATTGGGTGGCTCTCACTCTCAGACCAGCAGTGTGCAGGTCTGCCTTTGCAGCCTGCAACCCTGCTCTGCCCTTCACGTCTCTCTTCAGGAGAACCAGGCAATTTGGGGGCTGTACCGTAAGGGTACATAAACATATATACACATAAGCTATGCATTGAGGAGGGCATGAAACATATCAGCTTGTAAGTGTCAGGGAACAGACAATTCATTTTTCTTCTGTGTCAAAACAGTAGCCTCTTTACAGCACTACTAACTGAGACCCAGGCTCTAAAGAGGTCCCCCCGCAATGCACACTGCAGGATGGGGCCTCTCTAAAGTGAAGCAGGAACATCTGGAATGAAGCAAGAAGGACCTCGTTCACTGCCATTAGACCAATTCACTGTCAGACAGGCTCCGTTCATGTCAGCCTCAGAGGACTGATCTCCAGGGGCAGATGCAGTGAGGAAATAAACAGTAGGATGGGGCTGTGCTGAAGAAAAACCTGGGTGCCAGCGATCAGTGGGTGCAGAGGACGTGCACTTGCTCCAGGGAGCAATGGACTTTGGGACAGGCTTGGAGGACAGAGGCAAAGGAGGCACAAGCTTTGGCCAAACAGAACCAGCCACCATGATCCATCCAGACCAATCAAACCAGCACCCAGGGGTATGCTGCTACTCCTAGGCTTTGCGTTCAAGCTTTTCCAGGTTTAGGCTTGCACAGTTATAATTAAAAGGGCTTGTCAGTGCTTTAACCAGCTCAGAACCCAGAGGGTATGCAAAGGTATCCACGTCCTTCCTCAAACTGGCCTACATCTTCATATGTGACCCAGTCAGAATCCAAGGACTTTTCTTAAAATCCGAAAGACACGGTCAACTCCTTAAAGCACCCTCACCCCCCAGCACCTCACAGCCTAGGCGTTTTTATGGCCTTGGATAGGATCAAGAAAGATTTCTAAAGTTAAGCACAACAACAAATGCCACACCTACAGAATGTGTTTACCTCCATGTTAGACATGGTAATAGTATGGCATCCTAATTTAAATGGAGATTATGGTATAAAATCCTACTAGCTTTTCCTGAAGCAAGTCCACTTAGTCCACCTTCCTCCCCAAAGAATGCACAACTGTGTTCATCCCTAGAAACTACTACTCATCAGCCTCATCTTAGAATGCTCTTACGTTAATGATGCATATGTTAAGGCTACACCTACAAAGTCAAGAAGCCACATACTGCCATCAGTGTCTGCATAAACAAACCTACAGTGTCACCCTGATATGAAGAACAAAACCTTCTTGTATGGACCTTAGCTGATGCATTTTACCAGTTAAGTTCCCCCACAAAATTCAAGTGCTGGTACAGCAGCTTTCTTTAAGCAAGTGAATAACCTGAAGATAAAGCCACACAATTTAACCTAAAACTCCAAAGGGTCTTCAGCGGCATTTTGATGACAAGTCTGCCACGACAGTGGGCACAGCTCCATTTCACTTCCAGAAACAATCCCAGGCCACAAGCAGATTGCTCTCCTTTACTTTCATGTGAATCAAAGGTAATAATTCATCAGTTCCCTTACAGAAGGCAAAACAGACTGAAAAGCGTGTGCACACAGACCATTTTGCCTCTTTAGCTGTACAGCAGCAACATAAAACTGATGGTCTCTTCCTTTGAAGCTGGGAAGAGAAAGCCTGGCATTACAAGAGTCCCAGCTGGAGACTCTGCAGCACTTGAGACTGCCAGGGAGATTTTAACAACACTGCTTAGCATTTATATAGTACCTGACATCTTCAAGTCACTCGGCAAACATTACCGAAGTCATCAAAGCACCTCATGAGAGCATTTCAGCATTATTACTCCCTACCCCTCTGGTCTTTCCCTGCTGGAGAAACTGAGGCCTAGGAGAGGTTATGTAATAATGTTCCCAAGGTCATGCCATGAAGTACAGCAGAGCCAAGAAGATGACACAGGAATACTGGCTCCTAGTTATGTTCTTTAATCTAAACCACATCTCTCCTGAGTTATTTGGCTACAAAATACATTTGGGTATTCTCCCCCCCCCCTCCCCCCCTTTTACCAGTTTGTCCTCTTCTGATGCCAATTTTTTCTGGAACATGGACAAAATGGGAAGCATCCAACACTCCCAGCCCAAGAGTATCTATGTGGTCTCCTTTTTCTGGAAACATGAGTGACACTAGGTAACCCCCAAAGAGCTAATGAGTTCACCTGCAGGGGAATGGAGACACACACACTTAAAGGGTCATTTTAATTATACTGCATTTAGAAGCCCTGAGAAGAGTCATTGGAGGATTCTAGCAAGTCCCTGGCTGAGATCCACCTAGGATCTGGGCCCATTCTACCTTGCAAACATAGGCACCAAAGCTTGGACCCAGAGACAGTCTTATCCTGCCATCGTCACCTGAGGGTAGCACCGGGAAGTTCCTCACTTGGGAGATTCAGGGATTGAAGGAACCTGAGAGGGCAGGTGGCACTGCTGAGGGAGGACATGTGGACAATGGGAAAGGAGGGGGCAAGCTGGGGAGAGACACCACGGGAGCAGCAGACAGGGTGAGACTGGACACCAGGTCAGGGTGGCTGGGGACAATGCAGCAGCAAAGCACGAGTGAGCACAGGCAAGGTGCGAACACAAGAACCATACAGACAGCCAATGCCAGAAGCAAGGTGCTGGGCACGTGTGATGGAGAGGGAGATCCCGGCCCAAGGACGGCCGCTGGGTACGACGCAGGAGAGGGCAGTGGCAGCCGGGGCGCTCCCTCCACGTTGCCAGCCGAGGCCCGGGTAGCAGCGTGGACCGCGCCCGGGACCAGGGATGCCGCCGGGGCAGTGCGGGGCACGAAGCAGGCTACCGGCACAGCGTTCCCGTTGGGCGGGCAAGGCTGTGTGCGTGCATGTGTCCGTTTGCGTGTGTCTGTGCGCGTGTGTCCGTGCGGCTCCATCTCGTCGCAGCCCGGGCAACCCCGCGGAGTCTCTGCGCAGCGACCAGCACGGCGGATCCCGCCGCGGCTCAGCTCGCCCCAGCTCCCTGCACACGCCGGGAAAGTTAATAGCCGCATGGCTCCAAATGAAGTTTTATTAGGAGCTGGGGGAGGGGAGCGGGAAGGAAAGGGGCTCCGCGGGGAGCACTGGCAAACGCGCAACTTGTTTTAACGAGCGGGGAGCGGGAGGGACGGGCAGGGATGGAGGCGCGGGAGGCCGAGGGCAGAGCCTGGGGCACGTGTGCGGCTCTGCACCGCCGGGCCACCCGGAGGCCGGGGCACGGCAGGAGGCGGCGGCGGGAGGTCGGGGCCCGCACCGCAGCACACCGAGCAGCATCGCACCGCCGGCGGGATGCCCTGGCCTTGCGTAACCCGGCGGGGCGGCCCCGCGCACGGGCGCGCAGGTAGCGCCGGCAGTAGCGCCCGCCCGTGTGCCCGCGCACGGCGGCGAGGAGCCGCACCGCGCTGCCGGGCGCACACAGCGCGCACCCGGATGGGCTCAGCGCCTCTCCGCCGATCGGCGGGGCCGGGGGGCGGCACTCACCAGTTCTCCTGCATCCACTGGATGGCCGCATGCTCGTTGAACTGCTTCTCGAATTCGTATTCCTGCAAAGTCAACACTGACATGTTCATTGGCTCGGTGGCTGCGGAGCCGCTCTCCGCGCCGAAATGCTGCCTGCCGCCGCCTCGGGAGCCGGGCCCCTGCGCGCCCGATGCCGGAGAGCCCCCGCCTGTGGCCTGGCCCGCCCCGCCTCAGCGGTATCCCGGGTTTAACATAGCTCCGCTCCCCTCCGCGCCTCTCCTCCCGGGCCCGCCGGTCTCCTCCTCTTCTGCGGCCGCCGCGCAGCGCCCGGGGGCGGTGCAGTCTTAGTGCCCGCCCGCCGCCGCCGCCGCCGCCGCCCGGGACACCCGCCCACTCTCGCGTACCCGCCGCCGTTGCCCGGCGGACGACGCCGGTTGGTACGGGGGCTGCGCTCCTGCCGGGCACGGAGGGTACCCCACACACATACACCCCTCCAGGCCCTCCAAAATAACTACAGAAATCGGAAGCCCCCATCCCTGCATTGAACCGCTACCGCAGCGCCCTGCGCGCCCTCCTTGGCCAGCCGGGAAGTAAAGAGGCACAAGCTGAGGTTTAGCCAGAAAAGCAAACGCGTACACTGCCCCCAAATAGCCTACACCCCGCGCCCTGTTTGCTTTTGAATTCAATATGCCCCTGCTGTGACTGCCGCGCTCCGCGGCGCTGGGCTCTCTTGCCCCCTGCCCAGCCAGGCCCGAGGTGCTGCAGGGAAGGGGGTGCTGGTGAGTGTCCCCAAGCTGTCACTGTCTTGCAGAGCCCCAGGCTCCCCGCTGTGTACAGACACGTTTGGGATGTTGCCCCGTGGCTGGGGCAGCATGGGGCAGGGACCCCGGGTGTAACGATCATCTGCTCAGCTCTCCTGGCAGCTAAGGTACACGGTGTTTATGGATCCTTAATTTTCCCTTCCCGTCTCATCTACCACATGCTGATGTCTCCAGCTGAGTTCCTCCGGCTCCGGCAGCACCCGGGACGTGCTTTACAGTGCGAGCTGGGTTAAAACAGCCGTCCCAGCCCCCACCGAACTTGCAGTCTGAAGGCAGGAGAACAGCTTTTGTGTCAAGAAAGCCAGCAGATGTTAAGAAAGTGAGCAGATCCAGCATGGGTCAGCATGCTCTTGTCCCTTGTGGACTTCAGTTCTCATTAACATGGAAGTGTTCAATGTCATTAAACCCAAGCACTGGGGAGGAGAAAGAGAAGCAAAGGGAGAGCCCTCACGTTGTGGGATGTCAACAGCCAACTAGTCAGATGCTCCGGCTTGCATTCGACTAGTGTGACTTCAGAGTCATGTTCTTCCTTTTTTCTGTCCTTTTTTCCTGACAATTAGAACTTTTCTTTTTCCCTAACGAGGGCTGAGTTTCTCACATTGTCACCTGACAGGGGGGTTTAAGCAAACAGAACCTCAAGCTGCTCACACTGAAACTGCAAGGTCATGCTAAATTATTATTTATTATTATCATACCCAAAGGCCTTCAACAGATCAAGGTCCTTCAGTCCTTTTCTCAAAATGATTACTGTCTGTACAGGCAGGATGAAGGGGAAGAGCAATAGTGCTAGCTTTGCTTTCCAGATGAGAGGCTCTGAGAGCTGCAGGGATTTTCAAAACTGCCTCGCATCAGCTTTCAGTGGCTACTGAACTTGCTGGTGGAGTGGTGTTTTGGGAAAGCTGACTTCACATGCACTCCTGCTCCAAAGGATGTGCCCCTAAAAGTCCAAATCTCCACTGGCAGGCAGTTTTTGTGGATGGGGACCAGAAGGCAGATGGGTGAAGACATCTGGAGAGATCTCCAGCACCGCCACACATGACATTGGGTGGCTGGATGAAGCACAGGGTAAAGGGCTCCTCACAGCTACAGAGCTCTAGGTCTGCTAGAGCCATGGGACTTCTCCTTGCCATCATGCTGGAGGTTAAATGCTGCCCATAGCAGATATTGGCCCACATCACCTGCTCCTCTGCTAGATATAATTCCTGTAGGACTACACTTGGATGTGTCAGCTCCAGATGTCTTCACTACAGTGTGCATCAGCACTTGCTCCATTAAAAGCTTCAGGTGATACTGCTCATCCATCTGAGCAATACCTTTGTTACAGAGAGATGGAGAAATTAATGTGTGATACAACAATGCTGTTGTATGTCAATGCTCTTTGCTTGAAAATGACTAGAAAATAAGGAAATTTGGGCTCCAATTTTGTGAGAATATTTGTTGTGTCTGGTTATATTTACACCCATGAGTGGCAAAATATTTTTTTTCTGTCTTAAAAGTGGAGTTGTTACAGAGAGACCATTACCAAAATTCTCCATTTTTGGGGGGGGGGGGGAGGGGGGAAATATCAGTATCCCTTTTTCTGCAACTCCAACCTACTTTGGATTAGAAACGTGTGCCTTAAAGGCTTATTGCATCTGAGTATTTCATGAGTATCTGGTGCGTTGAAGTTTATGGTCTGGGAGTTTCCTTCTGACAGAAAACAGATGTTCAGAACAGAACTGCCCCAAATGCAGTTTCCAGAGTGTGTGGATGGACTTTAGAAATCCTGAAGTGACAGATTAGCCAGAAGGCCTGAGACCTGCTCCCTTACAGTGGCAGCTTCCTAAAATCAGTGCTGGAGCTGGTGCAGTGCACAGGATGGAGCTGAAGGTTATGAGATGCTATGGCAAGGGCTCCTCTAGGGTTTGAATGGCCACAGAGCTTCAGATAAGGTTGACTATTGCCACCAGGGTTTCTGTTTGGAAATACCTATCTTGGGACTCAGCTGCCATCCAGACTCGAAGCATCTATGTGGCACTGGGTGCTCATTCAGGAGTGCTGACTCTGCAAGGCATCATGTAGAAGCAAGTCCCAGCAATGCTTGAAAATCATCTGTAACAGTTTTGGGAAATATATTAACAGCTTCTAAATGCTAAACCCGACTGGGGTTCATATGCATCTCAAAAGCTCATCAGGAACTTCTCCAGTTTTTTGATAGCTCACAGGACTTCTGCATAGGTTAAGCAATCGGCAATGAATACTTCTTTTCTTCCTGTCCTGGCTTCATGAGGGCTACCTGAAAATTCACCCTAGCATGTGACATCTGCAACTTAATACCAAAGCTCAGGGTCACTTACAAAATCTGTGTGGACAATGGAAGAATGCATAAAATCTTCTGGGCCTTGAGTAGTTTCTAAGCCCTGCTTCTGGTTGCTTATATCAACAAGAGCAGTCAACAACAAAAAAAAATATAGTCTATTTTAAGGGGAAATAACTTTCATGTAGTCATTCTTGAAGTAATGTGTTTAATTCTCACATAAAAGCAGGAACTTGAACTGAAAGTTGTAAATACCTTTCATGAGGAAGGATGTGGGGAGAATGATGTGGTTTCAAGAGGCAGGGAATACAACCTAAGTCCCTCTGCACACATACATGTGCATATGTTTCTTTGTCCTACGGGGTGCCCATCTCAGTAAATAGTTATTGAGCAATAATTTTATTCCCCTCATTTAGTATGTCTTCTAAAGCTGTATGGAAGACATAGCAACTAAATGTTGCATTTCCTGCCAGATACATGTTAATGCCATTTCCATTTTACCCAGGACCCTTTGGCTGAGTAATGCAAGCAGTTTCTTTCAGGATTTACAAAGAACTGTCTAATCAGGTTAGGCACCTTACCATTATCATTCCTGTTACTAAGCAAATACTTTTTCTTCCCTGTCACAGTGTTAACTTATTGCAAAACTCATTAGGTTTCTATTGCTGTAAGGTGTAATTTTGAATAGTTTGTTGTACTGGTGTATAGCTAAGTCTTGACTAAACTCTTAGCAGCTGCTGGGAAATGGGATGCTATGTTGCTGACAAGTCAACATAAGATATAGTAAGTGGCAATGAGCTGACACTGTGGTTTAAACAACATCAATTACTAAAACAAACAGAACTTGAAGGAGGCCTGTGTGCTTGAAAGGTGGGGTTTTTTTCAGCTATATCAATTAATGCATTAAAGGATTCAATCTCTCTGTCTTCAATTTTGCCATATTTGAAAGCAGAGCAACATACAAATAATGGAAGCCATGAAAAACTGGCTTCTCTTATACGCCCCATAATAGGAAAACAATTAGGTGGTGCCATTGGATAAGAAAATGGGAGTTGATATCAAGAATTAATAAAGGACCTCCTTAAGATTACTAGCTGGTCCTGGTTGGTCCTAACAAAAATAAAAGTTTCAGAAAGTGCCAAGGAATAAACAAAAAACGGCCAAGGGATGCTTATGGACAGCCCAAGTTTACCTGGCAAGCAAATTGGGTTAGTCTGTGCTGCTGCATTATTCCTGGACTCAACCACAGACAGCTGGTAAGCTGCTTGGATGAATGCCGTGCTAAGCCTAAACAAACCCTATGAACAAACCGTCTTACGAAGTGTCAGCTCATAATAAAGCAACAGTAAGCATTAATCAACATCAAAATGTTATAAAGAAATTTAAAGCACAATTATTGTGTCCTCTCTCAGGTCTGTAAAATAACCTATGGCTCAACATACTCCCATTCATTTGTGCTATAGTACCCAGCTTGATCATGTACTTAAACCACCCCTGTGCTCTGTAACCACCTAGATCTAAGCTGTTCTGCAATATTTTTAATGCAGACCATGCCAGTTACAACAGAAAAGATGATGGGCAGGAGCAATCTGCAGAGCACCCCGCAGGGGCCAGGCAGTAACTCTAGCGTGCAGCCCTTGTGGGTAGCTCGGACAGCAATCTGCTCCTTCTCATTGTCAGTGCTATGGCTTAGATTGGGCAGATAAAAGCTCAGTGTGGTTGTAAGTGGGGTAATTATATCTTTGTCTTCACATGGTTCACGTCCTCAGCCCCTCTCAGTATTTTCTTCACAGCCATAAGAAGCAGGAGCATTTTTCAATTTGTGCTGAAGCTCTAGGCCATGGTTTGTGGCAAGAAGTGGAAAATCTCTGCGGTTTCAAAGCACATGAAGTCTTGTGCATAAAATGCAATCCAACAGCCAGACCTGCCTCATTATAGCCATTTCCATATAAATCACAGAATTTGAATTTCCCATCTTTGCGTTCACTAGTAGCAGTTCTAAGCATATCCCAGATGGTACTCATTCATAAGCAAAAGACACAAGGTTTTTTCTACATTATCTGCCAGTACATCTGCAGACCTATAGATTGCTTCACCCCTACAAGCCAGGGAGATCATAACACCGACAGTGTACTTACTTCCCTACAACTGTGGGTTAAACAATATCAGTAAACCTGAGAGAAAATAATTTGACTTTCATTGCTGAGAGGTCAGCA